ATCTGTGACTACAGATTTCATTCTAACAGTGTTAAGCCTTTGTCTTTGGATGCAAACTTCTGTGAAGGATGTATCAGACCAATCAGTTGAGGTTGTTCCCACAGTAACAGTAGTGTTAAGGTGTTTCTTAGCTCGAATAAGCGTTATAGGAGATGCTTGTCTAGTATGGTATTCTGCATGAGAGAAGCTGTGCTGCTTTTATCATTTTATCTCTTGCTGATGGCTTGTGTAGGAATGAGTATTTTGTGTGGCTCCCTGCAGCAACCAGCAGTGTGTGATACGACTGGTGCTAAAATCCCCTGAGAATAAAAGGCAACTGAAGGGCTGTGGTGATGGGAAGAGGAGAAAGAGGCACTTATCCTACTACCTTAAATACCCGTTGTACTGTGAAAGAGGTGGGTTTTTTTCCTGAAAGGGCTTATCAGCCTCTGCTCACTACAGGGGAAGCTCAGGTGCCTCACTTGGATGAGGCAGTCAGCTTTCTGATGACTAAAGTTCAGCCAGACAAATTCCACAGTGAGCAGTGGAATTTACATTATTTTATTTGTTCACAGTTAATGTGTGTTCTGTTCCCTTGACAAGGGCATAGCTGGTCCTTAAAAGAAGGGGACTTGCTTGAGGCTGGCTATTGCCTTCTGGATCAGTTGGCACCTTCAAGGGGAAAGAGGGACCATCTCTTTCATGACAGCAGTGGAGCATGGAGAACTGCAGAAGAAAAAACTTCAAGAGTGCAGGGTGGGGAAAGCAGAGTTGGGGAGACTGAGTCAACATGAAACCTTCAGAAAGAATGATAAATTAGGAATACCAAGAAGAGCAAGGAGCAGATGAGCAGTCAGGGCTTGAATAGAGAAGAAAAACAAGGTGTCTTACTGAGGGCTTAGAGGGGACTGTGCAGTTTTTTGCAGCCCAAGAAGTCCTCTGAATGCTGTTGGCCTGTAAGCAAACCTAAAAGAATGAACCTGCCATGGGAGCACACTGTGGGTAGGAGGGGGTTTGATCACAAACTCTTATTTTTATTCTGTTTCACTCAAGAAGACCAGTAACAAATATTCAAGGTTGACTTGTTCTCGTTCATGTTCAAGTAGAACAAAGTTTGAGGCTGTAAAAGTTCATTTATGTGTTTTTGGTCCATTCTGTGTTTGTGCTCTTTCCCACTGAGGAATGAAGAAGTGGTTGCTATACAGTGTCCGTGGCCACCTCTTTGACTTTTCCTTGAATGCCATTTAAACAACAACAAAGCATGCAGAAATAAGGGCAGTGGCCTTTCAGCCCTCCTAGATACTCAATTAGGTATTCAGGGCAGATTCTTTTAAAAACCTGGCCATATTTTCTTGAAATCTTCAGTTTTGGCTGTAATACATGTTCTTCATAACTTCCCATCCAGTTCATGAAAAAACAGCCATTTGAAGGAAAAGCAGTTAATGAGGTTTGCTCAGGAGTGTGTTTATGATTTTTCAGTCTGATTTTGACATATTATAGGCATTGGTGACATTTTTGTTTCCCTTCACTTTTATAGAAATAGAAAGATTTTAGAATGTGCTAAGTACTTCATACAGGCAGTGTTGCACTGGGCACGGTTATACGATAGATAGAAACATGAAATATATGCATCTGTATCTTGTGTAGGACAAGGGTCTTCAAAGAGCTTAGCTGTAGATCCAAGCCCAGCCTATAAGGTATAATCAAATGCTGAATAAGACCAAAGAGGATGAAGCCTTTTAATACAGCAACCCTGGTTTGTTTTGCTGCAGAGTGTTTTTTTTGTGAGGTGCAAGTTCATGGCATCCCTATTTATACACGCACATGCAGTTCCAGTGTACACACGTTACTCTCCTCTCGTGCATATGGTAGAGCTGTAGCTGCTCTTAACTCCTCCATCATCCCACTCTCGACTCCTTTCCAAAAGTTTTTGAAAACCAGTACACAAAATACATACTCTGGAAACTAGACTCATCAGAAAGCTTAGAAAAAAGAAATTTAGAAGGGGGTGGAGGGATGTGAGGGAACTAACCTAAACCCCACTATTATATTTGTTGTTGCAGATGAGGCCCTATAAATAAAATGCTTGGCAAGCTTCCTGTTGTGGAGCAGAAGAGTGAGTGTATTATCAGTATGTGCTATGAGGAATAAGTTCTGTAAGGCACTCTCTTCCTCCTTCCCTGAAATGTTTCCAAGTTTTCTAGCCATACATACACAAGGACACATGTATGTGACCCATACAGCTCTTTGCATCTCCATCATTTACAGGGACCTTGTTCCCGGAGGGTTCCTCAGTGGTGTAGTAAGAAAGCAACAGAACAGTAAAACTAATGAATTGACAATTACTGTCCTTTTTTGCCTATGTAACTATAAGCAGAGACTGCTTTACCTCTCATCCTGTTTGTTAACTGATGGCAAGAAAGGCTAATTTAGATTCTTACTGATCAAGTACTGACAATGTAAAGTGCTGGAGGACCTACCCTTGTGTGATTCTGATCTAATGCAGTGCCAGGCAGCACAGAACGAGTCCCTTTTTGCACAAGATGGCTGATGAGTTTCAGCCAGGGCAGGAAAATGCACAGCAACTTGCGTTGAAAAATTGAAGGAAGGAGATTGCATACTGCAACAGTAGGAGTTTTTGCTGGTGTTGGTGAAAGAGAGTGAGTCTGAGAGAAGAAACATGAAGACTGCTGTTACGAAGTAGAAATGAGAGCTCAGGACAAATGATAAGTAAGGAGGCCAGAGCTGCTTTTAAAGGAAGAAAAAATTAAGAAAAGTGGGTTTGTTGAGGAAGATGGCTCAAGGGAAAACTTTGGAAAGTTTCATGAGAAGCAGCATTTTTGGACCTGTTGGAGGATGGAACAGTTTGAGCAAAAGAGTGGATAGAAAACAGAATATGAAATACCAAGCTTTAGCTTTTTAGATCTGAGCTGTTTCTTGCTTAAGTATTTCCAAAAGTTTCATAGCCACAGTATTTTTTTCTAATATGCCCAAACTTTACTTAAAATAATTGAAAGCCTCATGCTACTGCTAGCTTCCTGACAGCTTGCTGTTACTGGGATCAACAATTGTTTCAAGGAAGGCCTTATTTAAGTGTCACATAACTATAGTTAACTGGCATGTGACTTCTGTTTCTCCAGCAGACTTTCTTATCGCAAGTCTTTGAGGACCTTGTGGAAGAGGGGTTTTTTCTCCTTGAGGCTTTTTTTTTTTTTTTAAGTGAAACTATTGAATTTTGCTCTGAAGCAAAATTTGTTTGATGCCAAGTGTATCTTATTCAAATATCCTTGACATCCATACCCAAATATCCTGTATAATGTGTGATGTACACACAGTAACAATGGGGAACTGAAACTTCTCCTCGTAACATGTTTTGGGTTAGACACACTCCAAGCATTAAAGCCATTTAATTATCTTCCAGGTGGGTAACAGGTGTAGGTTTCTAGGTAACAGATCACCATAATTGTTAATTGTTATTAAAGGAAAATATCTAGGACTGGCTGGGCTAAGGGAAGATCTTGGCCTTGAAGTCCCATTGTCTTAGTTTAGTAATGAGACATGACAAGTGGGTGAAGCTGGCAAGTGGCTAAAGTAGTCAGATAATGCTCTTGTGAGGTCTTTTGGGACGACCTTAAAACATTCACTACCATCCCAAAAGAGAGTGTGCATCATGCAAGTAGTCCTCATCTGTACCTGTGCAAAGTTTTCCAGGTCATCCAAGAGCCACTACTGAAGTCACCTTGAACCCACTTGACACTGAAAGTTAAGAAATGCTTGAGCGATCCAGGCTGGTGACTCGGCTGCGGGGGCAGTAACCTCCGGCTGTGACAGGGAAACAAACACCTGGGAGTGGCACAGTGAAACTCTGCTGGCCACTTCCAAAGTGATTACACCCTAATGTACCCAGTGCCTTTTCTGAAAGGGGCTGATGTAGGCTCTGTTAGCAAGGAAGAATGTTTTTTTTTTTTTGTTCAGTAGCTGTAGCTTGGGCCTGTCATCAGCCTGTCCCCTCACAGGCAGCAGTGCTCAGGAGGCATTCATGGAAGAATGTTCAAAGGCTCTTAAGGAAGGAAAACTGGGTTTTGCCATCACCACGGAATTTTAAAAGGAGGCACACTGTGTATGAAGTAGGCTTGGAGAAGAGCTACAGGGTGATGGGAAGACGACAACAAGGTGTATCACAGCTGGCATAGGAAAGGGGTTAAAAGACAGCACTGCAAGGTGATGGTGCAGAGAAGTACAAAAGGACTGCATTATGCCTTGAAAGACAGAGCATAGTGGAGGGGAGAGCCAGTGAAGGCAATCCTCTGTGGTATAAGATGGGAGATATACCATAGTAAAGAGGTAGGGGAGGAATCATATCAGGACCTGAGTGGTATCTGCTAGTAGTAAGAGAAACACTCTGAGAGGCCAAGAAGGTGTTTGTCATTCTAGATGAAGAATAGTATTGAAGTGTCAACTTCAAAGAACAGAGAAAGATGTAGAGAGAATCTGGACTGATCTTCAGAGGGGATCAGATGTTGGCACTAGTCACAGTGTCAGAGAAGCACTGTAGAGGAGAAGACAGAGGCTGTTCAGTGGCTGGGCTTCACAAAAAGTCAGATTCTGAGGCAAATAGTTCAGTGTTAGAGGCGTCAGTCTGCGAGCTGATAGACTTGTGTCTGCTCGCTAAGGACAGCACATTCTGTGCTTGAGAGCTGCAAAGCTGTTAACGTTGGCTAGTTGTATTAATACAGGTGCCAGGAAGGTGTATATGTAATACGAAGGGTTCTGCATTTCACCTGAGGTGGCTTGAGTGGCCCAGTTTCAAGCAGTTAGTTTTCACAATCTTGGTCATGGTTTTTCAGCAGCTGTATATGTGTGTAGTACAAGCTGGAATTCCCCTCTTTGTTTTCTTTTATAGTGTACCACACATATATTGATAGCACAATAATATTTTGCTTTATAAGATACTATTGCATCCACAACATAAAGCAACAGTGTGGTTCCCAACAATCTTTTGGTTTTCTTGTGTTCAATAGGAAATAGCTCGTCATCTCCGACCTGGAACTCTGCGTGCTGTCTTTGGGAAGAACAAGATTCAGAATGCTGTCCACTGCACAGACCTACCTGAAGATGGACTTTTGGAGGTAAGACCTGCTAGACAAACGTGAAAAGCTATACTTGACACAGTTTTAAGCTGTTGAAGTGTTTTATATGTGGAGTAGCTGTGTTGGAGGCCAGTGATCAACAAAGAATTTATTAATACTGGTACTGTAAAAAATTAATTAATACAGTTTTCTTGACTGAATATAGTACAATGAAATATTAACGAAATCAAAGTCAAGAGTCTTCTCTTTGGCTGAATGTGTCCTTGGGATTAGATATCAGCACTTAACAGTGCTTCTGCAGGGACACCTTCTCAGCCCTTTCTCGATGACCACCATGACTCCTGATCTGCATTGTCTCTATGGTGAGCTTGTGTGGAGCATGGAATATTACAGGCACTAGGGATTCAAATTCTCCAGATAGGGTCCAGACTTATTTGTAGACAGTCATAATTACACACATCAGTAGGTATTTCCTCTGTTTTAAATTAACTCACTAATTATTACCTGATTTGGCTTTGTATGCTTACATTAAAGTCCAATAAAATAGGAAAATGTTAAATTAAGGGAGTTTATAAAGACAGAAGTACTCACTATGAAAACCAGAACAAGCTCACTCACTTAATTCCATGCCTCAAAACTAAGGTCTGTACAAGGGGGTTGAAGCAGTGTGTAAGCATAGCTTGGATGGATCTCTGCATCAATGCAGATGTTTTTCCAGCACATGCATAGCTTCTGTTTTACTGTCTACATGTATTTGTGAGTGTTTTGCTGTCAGACTATAGCAGAATGATGGAGCAGCAGGAGTTTTCCTAGCTTGGGTAATTTTACACTGCCAAAGTGGTGTTTTCATTGAGGGGAGTGGAAGAGCTAACTGTGTCACCATCTCCTTTCATGAACTAAAATCAGATCTGTGGGTTAAAGTGCTGTTTGCCAGGAAATCGCATCTAGTTTAGGGAATTCACTAGTGAAATTCAACACTGAGAATGGCAGCCAGTGTCAACAAAGTTGCAGCTTTTTAAACCATTTCCAAGCTGTCATTAAAAGTTTTCAACGTCCAGTCTCTGCCCAAAGGGACTGTATTTAAACAAACAGGTATTTGTCACCACATGCGTAAAATCCCTCAGTCATGGCTTTTCAATGGCAACAGAAAAAAGGCACAGCCTGCAAGGGGGAAATGGAAGTCTCACCAACACTCACAGAGCATTTTAGTACTGGGCAGAATTCTCCCTCATGTCTGCAGTCCATCTCCTTCATGCTGGTGCAAAGCAGGTATGACCCCATTTTGCTGGTTGTTTAAATTGAGTTTACAGCTACTGTAAGTGAGGTGGGCAGGACAGAGCAGTGGAATTGCTTCTCCAGAACAAAAATTGAGGCTTGAGTTCTTTCTCAAGGTCTCCACTACATGCGTTTGTCCTTTGAATCCCACAGCTGAATCATAAGCTTGATCTAGCATTACTCTGACTACACACTTTGCAGTTCCTATTGCAGACTGGTCATTTTAACAGTCATTTATTGATTGTTTTTTTTTGGAGGAGTGGCCTAAAATCTTTTTTTACCATAGGCATAATTGTACACAGAATGTGTCTCTTCATTTGTCTGTAGTTTCTTCTATAACAGTCCAGGTTAAGCCAGCAGTTGTAAAGGACATCGATCAATGTTCTTTAATAAGTAAATAAAGCAGTGAATGTTTCATTACGATTGTTCAGCAAACAAGCATTATAATGTAAACTATAGAAACCTTTTTACTGATAACAGTTTAATTCCTGGAGTGTCTTTAGATCTGTGTTCTGTGAGAAATGTAGTTGACTGAAAACTTGGTTAAGCAAAAAGAAAAATAGCCTGTGGATTTGCTGAAGTGCAAGGGCTTGTCGCAACTGGTGAGAAAGGAATAATACAGTATACACAGAGATCATCCTTTGGAAGGACTTTTTTCTCAGTGAGCTTTTCTGTGAGAGGAGCTCAAATCCAGTCCCAGAGGTCTCATCTGCTGGCAAGCAGAAACCAGAGCTTTCTCCCACCTCAGCCCTAATACCTGTAACAGGCGCTGTACGTGCTGGGCTAGAGCAGCGTGCCTGTGTGGCATGCAAGACAACCGCAGAAAGAAACTAAGTCATGCTAACATTTTAAAGTGGTATGCTGTTCAGTAAATGGTACGTTCTCTAATGGATAACGGAATATGTTAGTATACTGAGTTTAACAGAGCAATTATTCTCAGCCTCAGAGGAGGTGAATTCAGGGATAGGTAAGGCACTTGTCATTGAGGAGAATGACCTTGGCTATGTCGGCACAGTGAAACTTGTTTTTTGATACGGAGCTAGCATGTGTTCATCATGACCATGTTCTAGTAGGAGAAGTTGCTGTTGCTATAAAAGCTGTACAGTATCATTGTAGGACAACTGATCAGTAGAGGAGGAGTCTGGAGCAAACTTCAGAGAGAAATGTGATCTAGATTTATACTACAAAGATGAGGGATCCTTTTTAAAACCCCAAAGAGAATTAATTCATCCCGACCAGTCTCTTTCCTTTCTTCACCTGTCATTAGTTTTTGTACAGTGTTAATACTCTGCTGCAGTTACTACCCAGTATAGATCCAAAAAAAAAGCATATATGCAAATTCTTGCACTCCTGTTTTGCTGATGAAAGGTATGTTTGGCAATCTGAATTCAGGCACAAGTGCTAGGAACTCCAGAGTTTCATTTATAACTCTTGTGCTGATTTGATCTGAGCTTGCCTAAGACACTTTCCAAATTTTGGCATGAAAGTGTTTGGCTCTGAAATTCTGTATAAAGATGTTCTGATTTATATTTCTCTTCTCCAAAAAAAAAAAAAAAAAAAAAAACACCTAAATGCAACACATTTTAGAAAGCAAACTGCAGAATCGTTATCACAAACAATAACACAAAATTTCTAACACTTTTTTCCCCCAGTTTCCACTGTTGGTGGGGCTTTTTGATTGGGTTAGTTGGTTGGTTTTGGTGTTTTGTGGGGTTTTTTTGGTTGGTTGGTTGGTTGGTTTGCTTTTTATTTGTTTGTTTGATCAGGGGTGTGTGTGTTTGGTGTTTGGTTTGTTTTTTTTCTAGAATAGGAAATAGGTTGATTACTCTTCTGAAACCCAGTAAACTGTCTTGGAGAGCGGATGATGTGATGTAAGCTTTCTGAAACTCTTGCTAAACCAGAGAGGTGGACCTGAGGGAACAGTTACAGCCAAAAAGCAGGCAGAACCAGTCTGGTACACTGTGAATAAAGATGGTCACTGCCTTGGATTCAGAGCTTCTGTAGAACCTTGACCGTGTTTGATGGCTGAATCATCGTTTTCCAGAGGCTCCCGTTTCCAGTGCAGCCTCTCCTTACAGGTCTAAGGGCTGTAGAGTAGAAGTCCCTGTATCTCTGAACTTGGATTGAGCCCACTGGGCTTGTACAAAGAAAGCCTTAGCTGTGCCTGTTGGCTGGTGTGTGGAGTACTTACACTGTTAATGATAAAGCAGCGTATTAGAGGTGCCTGCCACAGTCCTGGCTCTGTTGTGGCCGTGTGTTCTGTGTGTACATCTGCAGGGTCAGCAGTGCCCAAAGGACCTTGGAGGCAAGATGGTCAAAGGAACTGCTGCTGTTGCCACTTTGTGCGTAGGAAGCTGAATAGGTTGGTCTGTCTGTTAATTGGTTTTGTGGCTTCTGAACTTCCAGACCCAAATGGAGATGTAAAGGGGAGATATCTGCTTGACCTGCTATCCTCTCATGGGCCCTAAATGCACAGTATTTATGAAAGCACAATAAAGGTGTGTTCCTATGTAGTAGGGAACGCACCAGTGCTTTCCTGAGAACTCAGTTAGGTATCCTTCATGCCAGATACTGCTTATTTTAAGATTTATCCACCTTTCTCTGCAGTTTTCATCACCCACAGTTTAAGAGCTAACTGAAATTTGAAAAGTGATCACAATGGCAGCTGTTGTCTGATTGTCCACAAATGAAGACTTCTTAAAGGAGATGAGATAGGTCATTGAGGGCTGGATCAAATGCTTGATGAAGTTAAATAGCCAAACTAGGTGACTTTGGTGGTCCATACTTAGTTCACAGTCACTAGGAAGGGCAAGGTAGTGACCTTTCTCCCCAAAATCATGACCAAGGAGTACTGGGGAAAGGAGAGAACAGTGCTGTCTTGGGAACAGCAAGGACTAATTAACTAAGTAAGGGTCAGCTTAGTTTTAGAACACTATATTTAATTAATGTAGTACAGCAGTTTTTCAATGTTTTTTTTTGTTAGACCTCCTTTCTACGGACCTGGAAAAAGGAAAGTTTGCTTTTAATCTTAAAAACCCCTCAAACAAACAAACAAACAAACCCCAAAAGCAAATATGAGCACTTGCTCCCACCAGTTTGATCCTTAACTCCTGTCTATGTTCTACAAACTACTTCATGACTTAGGCAGTGACTAAAGCATACCAGAATTAATGAATAACTCACTTTGGTTCAAGAGAGGAGGAGGAGATGCAGTTGAGCCTAAAACGCAGCTGGTCACAATGGAAAAATCTATGTGTTTTCAGTTGTAAAGCTGTAACTGCTTCTTTTGTTCCTAGTTTAGTGATACAGTAGGAGGGTGAATATTGACCTGAAGCCTCTTGGATGATCTCTTTGGCTTACTGGGTCAGGCACTTATTTATTCACTGCATAGACTTGTGTGTCCTTGTATCAGTACAAAATGTATTTTCACATCTGACAATGGATAGACACGAGTAGCTCAGAACTGTCTGTTTTCTCAGCCTTGCCATCAGGTTCCCATTTTAATGGGGAGAGGAAAGAAAGGAGGAAGTAGAGAAGGGAGTCTGATAGTGAAGGGAGTATTTTTGAGAGGATGGCGTTTCATGAGTGAAGGCTAAATCAGCAGTTTCTTAATTTTATTGATCAACTGATGTTGCATAGAGCATTCAGAGCAGGGGTTTCCATTTGTTTCCCACATCCAAAGCAGGTACTGTTCTACCTCTCATCATTTTTTTTTTTTCTATTTTATGTAAAGTAGGTAGTATTTGGAGCAAGCAAACAATTAC